CCCTCTCTCTCTTCCTCCCTCCCTCCCTCCTCCCTCTCTCTGTCTCCCTTTCCTTCCTTCCCTCCCTCCCTCCCTTCCTTCATTCCTTCCATCCTTCTTTCTTCTTTCCAGTGTCTCACTCTGTCACCCCGGCTGCAGCAGAGTGCCGTGATCATGGCTCACTGCAGGCTCGACCTCCCAGGCTCAAGCAATTCTCCTGCCTCAGCCTCCCGAGCCTAGGACTACAGGTGTGTGTCACCATGCCCAGTTAATTTTTAAATTATTTTATAGAGACAGGGTTTCCCCATGTTGTCCAGGCTGGTCTCCAGCTCCTGGGCTCAAACAATCTACTTGTCTCAGCCTCTCAAAATGCTAATATTACAGACGTGAGCCACTGCACCCAGCTACATGCATTATTTCAACTGATTCTCACAACCCCAAAAAGTAGATCCAATTATTATACCCATCTTGTAAAATTAAAATATTAAGACTTACATCTTTATGCCTTAAATCAATTAAATAACATGACCAAGATCATGACCAAGATAACATAGCTAATATGTTTAGAGCTGGCATTGTGAAGCCAGGCAGTGGTGAACCTAAATGTCTTAACATCTTGACCATGGTATTATATTGCCTTAGAGATTACCTACTGCAATTGTTTCCCATGCCTTTTAAGCAAAATGCTACGATGAATCCTAATCATCATGTGGGTGTGTGTTGCTTGTGGCAATAAGGGAGGTGTAGCAGGTGGGGGTTCCAGGACCCACAACCAAAGCCACTCTGATGGTAGCTCAGTCCAATCTCCTCTTAAAAAAAAGAAGAGTGAGGAAGCAGAAATCAGGGACGAATTTTGACAAATTAAAATTTTAATTGGATACTTGAAAACCACTTTATTGATGCAGAATGCAGATTATAAGCATTCCATTGAGCACAACACTCTCACTTCACAGATGAGAAAAAAGAGGTACTAAAAGAATCAGTGATCCCACCACAGCCAGATGGTGAGGACAAAAGACAAAACAGAACCCATCTCCAGCAGCATAGTAGGCACGCGTCACCACGTCCGACTAATTTTTTGTATTTTAGTAGAGACGAGGTTTCACCTCGTTGGCCAGGATGGTCTCTGTCTCCTGACTTTGTGATCCGCCCGCCTCAGTCTCCCAGAGTGCTGGGATTACAGGCCTGAGCCACCGTGCCAGGCCTATTTTGTTTTTCTAGATGTCTGTTCCAACCAGAGTTGTGGTTTTGGTGCTTTAGAGGCTGAGTTTGAGTGTGAGGCTGGAGCAGATGGATAGTCAAGGCTGGCAGCGAGAGAAAGCGGCCAGACCCCACAGACGGAAGTGAAGTGACAAATGTGTATCAGAACAGGGTCATTCGAGGATGTTGGGGCATCTAACCTGAATATCTTCTGAAACATCAGAGTGAATGCTAGACTTGGCGTGGCAATGTGGGACATGGCTTTGAGTTATTTTATTTAGTCATTAAAAGAATAATTGAGCCTATGTAATTGGAGGAACTTGGGGAATTTAGGTAACATGGAAAAAATACTACAAAGGGACATTTTGATCATGGAAATTGTTTGACATGGTGCCTGGCACACAGCAGGTACCCAAGAAAAGCATACGGACTTATTACACCTCGGCCCTCATTTAACCATAGTCATGGCAGAATGTGGATAACTCTCCAAACCTGTGTGCCTATTTCATTTCCTTAGAGCTGAATATGCTATAATGGTGCTTACTTTTATATATTTTGCAAAAATATATGAAAATAAAATGTAAGTTTCTGCCTCTTTTTTGACAGTCCATTCACAAAATGGTTGTGTCATGCTCGTTCATGTAGAAAGGTTAGATCCCTGATGTAAGCTTGTACTGCACTGTTTTGCAAACATTATTTGTGCAAACACCTGTCTTTCAAGTAGACTGCTCTATGGGCACACCTAAGATCACAACTGAAAGGGAATAGACAACATTCTAAGTGGTCAAAAGTTGCTGGGTGATGGAGAAGCCATCTCTCCACCTTAAGTAGTTGTCTCATTTTGAAATCAGCCTAAAATCCCTCACCTTCTGAATAAGTGCATGACCACTTATTCACTCAGCATCAGCAGAGGCTTGCTAGGATCACTGTGGCCTCTTGCCTCCTCTGTTTCTCTGCTGAAGGAACCATTCTAATAATGTTTCACTACCCTGGACATTCATGACAACAGGAGGACCTGTCCACCCGACCTCCTTCAAGGGATAATATCACTGGTTCTTTTATTTCATCTTTATCTTCCTTCCTTTGGGAGCTGGATGATGCTGTGATACTAAGAGAGTCATAAAGTCTAAGAACGAAACTAACATAGATTGGTTATAAAAGTCCCTCATCTATAACTGCATTGTCCAGGTAAAATTCTAGCAACTAAAGCAAGGCTCCCAAACCACAACCAGCAGAAAATATACTTGGTTTGTCCCAGTCAGGACTTTTTAAAATGATAGATGCTAACATTAAAAGACAGGAGGATTTTTCATAAAAATCCAGAGTTTTCTGTTACAAATCAGAAGTTCTGATAACACTGGTACTCATTCTCTCATGGTAACATTTGATTGGAGTGGAGAAGTAGCAAGCCCATTTAATAAAGCATGTGATCTCCAGTTTGCTGCAGTCCTCACCACTCCCTGCTGCCTTTCACTGGCCTGCTTTTATCAATTACATCACCGTGTGGCCCCTATTATACAATCAAGTCTGTGATTGTTGGGCAAATAGTAAACACAACTCTACATAGAGTTTATTTTTGCTCCATCTTCAGGACCCTGTAGACACTGCAAAGCTCTGGCAGGTTGTGTCTGTCCCCCAACTGAAATTCCCAGACCTGCTTACTGACCTGTCCGCATACAAGCCACGCTGACCAGCCACCACTCCGGGATCCTTGGGAGTACCAGCATCATTCTGTCCCCAGGCTGCAGGCCGCATACACCCGCTAGCACATTGGCTGCCTTCCTGGACTGCTTCCCCAGCTCCTCAAAGCTCCACTTGACCTCTGCTCCTGTGCCATTGACCCACCAGAAGGCAGGATTCCGGGGGCGGTGTCCAGCCTAGATGGTGGTGCAGGTAGAAAAAAAAAATAGATGCAATTCATTAAGAATTTTTGTTTTCTTGTTGTTTTTGAATGTTTTATAATAGTTAATATAAAAATTCACAGGGTTCAAAAAGCAAAGCAATGTGGAAAGACATGCATTGAAAAGGCTTGCTCCCCTCCTTGTACTTATCTGCCGGATCTCCTCTTCCTCTGCCTCAGTGAGTAAACAATTTTATTACTTTTTTGTATAGCCTTCCAGAGTTTCTTTAGGCAAACACAAGCATATATATTTTTTCTGCTATCTTTTTAATGCAAAAGGTAGCACATGATTTGCACTGTCTTCTGTTTTTCCCTTTTTTATTGAAATATAATTCAGGTATCATAAAAATTACCATTTTAAAGTGCACAACCCACTGGTTCTTAGTATATTCACAAGATTGTGTAACCATCACCATTCTCTAATTCCAGAATATTTTTATTGCCACAAAAAGAGACACTGTACAAATTAGCAGTCCCTCCCTATTCCCTCCTCCTCTAGCTCCTGGCTACCAGTTATCTGCTTTCTTTCTCTATGGATTTGAATCTTCTGGATATTTCATATGAATGTAATCATACAACGTGTAGCTTTATGTCTGGTTTCTTTCACTTCGTACAATGCTTTCGAGATTTATCTGCATCACAGCATGAATTAGTTTTACTTTGTTTTGATTGCTGAATAATATTTCACTGTATGGATAGACTACATTTTGTTTATCCATTCATCAGTTGATAGACGTCAGGGTTGGTGCCACGTTTTGGCTATTATAAATAAAATTGCCATGAGGATTTATGTTCAAGTTTTTGTGTGAGCACGTTTTCTATTGTCTCGGACACATACTTAGTAGCAAAATTCCTGGGTCAGTATTTTAATAACTCTATGTTAACTTTTGGAGGAAGTGCCAAACTGTTTCCCACAGCACTGCACCATTTTATATTTCCATCCAGCCATGTCAGAGGGTTCTAATTCTCTGCACCCTCCCCAACACTTGTTACTGTACCTTTTTGTTGGTTTTTGTTTTTTTGGTTTTAGCCATGCCACTGGTTATGAAGTGGTATCTCCTTGTGGCTAGGATTTGCATTTCCCTAGTGAGTAAAGATGTTAAGCATCGTTTCATGTGTCTATTGGGTATTTGTTTATATTCTTTAAAGAACTGTCTATTCAGATTCTTAGCCCATATTTTAATTGGGTTATTTGTCTTTTAACTGTTGAACTTGAGTTCTTTATGTATGGTAGATACTAGACTCTTACTCAATATGTGATTTGCAAATATTTTCTCCTATTCTGTGAGCTGTCTTTTTTTTTTTTTGAGACAGTTCCCACTCTGTTGCCCAGGCTAGAGTGCAGTGGCATGATCTTGACTCACTGCAACCTTTGCCTTCCTGGGTTCAAGCAATTCTGTCTCAGCCTCCTGAGTTGCTGAGACTATAGGTGCATGCCACCATGCCTGTCTAATTTTTTCTTTTTTGTATTTTTAGTAGAGACAGGGTTTCACCATATTGGTCAGGCTGGTCTCAAACTTCTGGCCTCAGGTAATCCACCCTCCTTGGCTTCCCAAAGTGCTGTGATTACAGGTGTGAGCCACTGCACCTGGCCTGTCTTTTTATGTTGATAAACAAATAGCATTAATTTTCACGAAGTCCAATTATTCTATTTTTTCTTTTGTTGCTTTTGTTTTAGAAACCATTGCCTAATTAGAGGTCACAAAGATATACTCCCATGTTTTCTTCTAAAAACCTTCTTATACTTTTTGTTTCTTCATTTAGGTCTTTGATATATTTTGAGTTAATTTTTATATTTAGTGTCAGGTAGGAGACTCAATAAATTCTTTTGCTTGTGAACATCCAGTTGTGCCAGCATCATTAGTTGGAAAGACAGTTATTTCGCCCACTTAATTGTCTTGATATTCTTGTTGAAAATCAATTTACCATAGATTTGTGGATTTATTTACAAACTCTGAATTCTCCCCTATTTCTCCAAGTCTATCCTAATGCCAGTGCCACATTGTCTTGGTTACTGTAATTTTGCAGTAGATAGTAGACTTGAAATAGAAAAGTGTGAGTCTTTTTTGTTTTTTATTTATTTATTTTGTTTTGTTTTTTCAAGATTGTTTTGGTCGCCATGGGTTCTTGCATTTCCATAGAAGTTTTTGAATCAGATTGTCTATTTCTGTAAACAAGTCTCCTAGGATTTTGATAAAGTTTACATAAAATGTGCCGATCAATTTGGAGTACGTTTTCATCTTAACAATATTAACTCTTCTAATCCATGAGCATGGGATGTATTTATTTGTTTATGTCTTTCCCGTCCCAGTTTATTTCAGCAATGTTTTGTCATTTTCCGTGTACAAACCTTATACTTCTTTGGTTAAATTTATTTATATGTATTTCATTCTTTTTGATGCTTTTTAGTAAATCGTATTATTTGTTAACTCCATTTTTATTGCTCCTTATAATAAAAAAACACACAGCCTTACTTAGGTGTGCTGATTTCTAGATTTCTAGGAATACAATGGAATTTTTAAAGACTCCCATAGACATTACCTTCTGCAGCTTTTCTTTTTTTACTCTTCAGTGAGTGTGGTGTTTGTCCCTACTGTTGTCTATCACGATAGACAACAATGAAGCTAAAACATTTGCCTGTCATTGTTTTGGGCAGAGACTCCTACAGAAAAAGATTTTCTTGTTGGTTAATCTTCAAGTTAGTTCAAATACAGTATTACAAGTAGGGTCTTCCAAAGAACCAACGGGCTGCTCAAATAAGAACAATTCTTCATTAGTGAAGCTTTGAGAAAACTCCAGCTCTATTCCGGCCCCTCTGATGGTTGTCATGATGCACCAGAAATGGGGGCTGTTATTTTTCAAGGCTACCACATAGCTGCAAAGTCCTTATTCTACTGTTTTTTCCTGACCTAATCCTGCTTGTTTGTTTTTATTATTAGGAGAAGTCTTCTAAGGATGCGACTAGTATGGCAAAAAGAGCTCAGATTTTGTAGGCCATCAGGAATGGATCATCCTGGCTTTATCTCTTACCTGCACTTTTCATTTAATTCTCACTATAATTCTGAGTAGCATATGGAATGACTACCATTTTGCAGATGAGGAAGCTGAGATCTAAAGAACTTAGGGCAAGGTCACACTTCAAGTACATGGATGAACAATGTCTATCTGACTGCAAAGCCTGTTTATAAGTCTCAGTCATCCTCATACCACCTTGATAAATTTCACTATATCTGTTGACATTTAATTTTACTGTATCTACTAACAATGTCATTTACTTCATATTTTTTCTTTAAACAACCTCATCTTAAAATTAACATGAATACAATTCTTTGAATTAAATTTTATATTTCCCTATTATAAATAGTATAATGTAACACAAATAAAAGATAACCATGAAATATAGAGAGAGACCCAACAAACACATATATAAGGAAAAATAAAGAAGAAAGCAGATGCATGGAGACACACAAAGAAATCAGGATTATCTTATTTAATTTTGTGTATCTGTTGTGATCTACAAAAAGCTTTGAGCCTGAGCCCTATTCTTTCCTTATTTTATTTTATTTTTTGAGATGGAGTCTCACTCTGTTGCCTAGGCTGGAGTGCAGAATAGAATGTGAAATAGAATCTAAAATAGAATGTGAGCCACCTGTGCAATTTACATCTGAGCTTACTGCAACCTCTGCCTCCCGATTTCAAGTGATTCTCGTGCCTCAGCCTCCCAAGTAGCTGGGACTACAGGTACGTGCCACCAGGTCTGGCTATTTTTTTCGTATTTTTAGTAGAGATGGTGTTTCACCATTTGGCCGGCTGGTCTTGAACTCCTGACCTCAGGTGATACACTCACCTCGGCATTCCAAAGTGCTGGGATTACAGGCGTGAGTCACCACACCCAGCCTTCTTTCCATGCACTTGCATGACAGTGAGAGAGAGACATCAAAGATAGAGTAGCAGCAAAACAAAACTTCCTCCTTCACATGATGAATGACCTGAAGGGAATTGGAAGGGACATAACTGTCTCACTGTGTGAGACACTTCAAAGAGGAAACAAGCATGTCTAAGGCTCACAACACTGACTCAGAATTTTTTTCCCTAAGTCTTAAATGCTAACACTTTACATTTTAGAACTAGCAAAATTCCCAGGTCCAAATTTCCTCATCAACATGTCTTGAAGTCTTGAGTCTCACTGGGGTACCTGAGGTCAGCCTCAGATGCCCCAGATGGACTCTAGGACAGAGTAGTAGGCTTCACCTTTTCCAGCCGACTCCACACATCTAGCACATCATGGGCAAAGTTGAAGTACTCAGGCACCGGCTGCCTTCCCAGGCTTATGGCTTCCCAGGTGGCCACGATCTTCTGAGGAACAGGTAGTGGTGCCAGCTGCCCACGAGACCCACAGAATCCCCGGGAGCTCCTGAGTGCCTGGAGGACGAGGTGTCTCAGCCATGGTCTCATGCAGTCGCCTTCTGTCTGTCACCAAAGAGACGAGAGAGGGCATTGTCATAAATGCTGAGCTTTGGGGACAATGCTGAAGTTAGGAGAAAACTGTGGTAGTGCTAACAGTGACTGCGGTCCCTATCGACTTGTAGAACAAATGCTCCACCGTCAGTCTCAGTTCTACTGTGTGATGGTCATTTCTCCCCTTTGACCCTGAGGTCCATCTTTTTTGACCTCTCACTGGCTGTGTGTCTCTGGGTCTGAGGTCAGAATTCAGAGCCCACTTCTCAAGGCTCAGTACTTCAAAGGGAATCCCTCAAAAAGCCTTTGGCCAATCCTGAACAGACCTTACAAAGCTGAAGACAGCTTTAGAGCAGCACTGTCCAATAGAAATAGAATGTGGCCTGGTGTGGTGGCTCACACCTGTAATCCCAGCACTTCGGGAGGCCGAGGCAAGTAGATCACAAGGCCAAGAGATCGAGACCATCCTGGCTAACATGGTGAAAACCCATCTCTACTAAAAATACAAAAATTAGCTGGGCATGGTGGTGCATGCCTGTAGTCCCAGCTACTTGGGAGGCTGAGGCAGGGGAATTGCTTGAACCTGGGAGGTGGAGGTTGCAGTGAGCCGAGATTGCACCACTGCACTCCAGCCTGGTGACAGAGCGAGACTCTGCCTCAAAACAAAAAACAAAAACAAAAGAATGTGAGCCACCTGTGCAATTTACAATGTTCTAGTACTTCTTAATAGTACTTTTCTTAATAGAAAAGCAGAAACAGATGAGATTAATTATAATAACACATATTATTTAACCAGAGAGAGCCAAAGTATGATCATTTCAATGCATAGTCAACAGAAGAATAAATTGTTAAAGAGATATTTTACATACTTTTTTTTTGGTGCTACATCCTTAAAATCTGATATACATTTTACCCTTACAAGCAATCTCAATTTGAACTAGCCACACTTCAAGTTCTCAAAAGCCACAAGTGGCTGATCTATGGCATGATGTGCTTTTAGTGTCTTTTTTTTATTTAATTTTATTATTTTTTAAATTTTCATTATTGTTATTTTTGAGACAGATTCTCACTCTGTTGCTCAGGCTAGAGTACAGTGGTGCTATCAAAGGTCACCGCAGCCTCGAACTCCTGGGCTCAAGCAGGCCTTCCACCCCAGCCTTCCTAGTAGCTGGGACTACAGATACTAGCCATCACGTATGGCTAACTTTTAAAAAGCTTTTGTAGAAACAGGATCTCACTCTGTTGCCCAGGCAGTACCTGAACTCCTGGCCTCAAGCAATCCTCCCAACTTGGCCTCCTAAGTGCTGGGATTACAGATGTGAGCCACTGTGCCCAGCCCAGTTTTGATGTCTTGCTACTCAAAGTGTGATCTTCAGACCAGCAGATGGGGCCCCACCCTACACTTGTAGAATTAGAATCTGCAAGTTAACAGGATCTTCAGATGGGTCATACGCACGTTAAAGTTTGAGAGGCACTGGCCTGCGAGCTGCATGTGTCCTGTTTCAGTTTCCTTGCATTAGTAATAATAATAACAAAATATGGTAATAACAACCAACAATAAAAACATGGTACAACAAGAAAAATCGTAACAGCTACAGTCTTTTGAAGGTCTACTGTGTACCAAGCAATTTAAAAGGGCTCATAGGCATTCTTTCATTAAATCTTTATAACAACTCTATGCTGTAAATGCTATTTTCTCCATTTATGTATAAAGAAAGTGAGGCTTACAGGGAAAAAGTGACTTTCAGTTTTCACCTCCCAGAAAAGCATAGGTTTTGGTTTCTGGAGTGGCCAACAGGTCTAGGACTGCAGCCTCAGAGACTTCCTTTCTCTGACCCACCTCTCTCGCCCCTTGCCTCTCCTGAACTCTGCCCAAGCCTCTTCCTCAGTCTCCCACCCCTGGATTCCTCAGGCAACTTGACAGCTGATAATTTAGAATGCCCAGGCCTTCTTCCCATCCCCCAACACCATTTCAGACACCGCTTCCTGGTTTAATCAGCAAAGGCCTGAGAAGCAGCTGACACCTTTGGCTGAAAAACCTCTTTCCAAATTACCTTGTTCCTGAATCAAAGTAATGCAAAAGGCCTCTGTTTTCTGCTTCAGCTGAGCGGAGCAGGCCTGAAAGACTGTAAACACTTTGCTTCCTCAGAAAACAAGTTGCCGATTGAGCCTCCCACAGTGAACTTCAGCCCCAAATTCCTCCGAGAGAAGGCAGAGCCAAAAGCCAGCAGCTGACACAGAGGCTTCAACTGGGCAGGGTACATTGAGCCAGTGAGAACCGCCCCCTGCCAAGTTTTCTCAGTACTCACAGTGGCTGGAAGATCAGATCTCAACTGTCATGCCTGCTGGGTGTACCCAAACTGGTAGATGTATTCCCTAACAATTCAAGTCACCATCTAATCAGAAAAGCAATAGGAAGTTTATTAGGTTTTAACAGGAAAGGTGCAATAGTGATAAAATATAAGTCGGACTGTTTCTTTTCTGCTTAGAACCCTCCAGTAGATACACAGAGAACAGAGGACTGGTTCCAGGGAATGGCTCTAAGGCATCCTTTGAAGTCATAGAATTGTTCTCAATTTGGATTGTGGTCATGACTGCACAACTCTGTAAATTTACTACAAAAAATAGTTAATAATATATAATATTATACATAAATACTATAAATAATAATAATAGTTAAAAATAGTTAATAATAATTGTATACTGCTAAAAGAAGTTTTTTGGGTTTTTGTTTGTTTGTTTGCCTGTTTTTTGAGACAGCCTCTCATTCTGTCACCCAGGGTTGGAGTGCAGTGATGCAATCTTGACTCACTGCAACCTCCACCTCCTGAGTTCAAGCTGTCTTCCCACCTCAGCCTCCCAAGTAGCTGGGACTACAGACACACACCACCACGCCAGGCTAATTTTTGTATTTTTTGGTAGAGATGGGGTTTCAACAACATGTTGGCCAGGTTGGTCTCGAACTCCTGACCTCAAGTGATCTGCCCGCTTTGACCTACCAAAATGCTGGGATTACAGGTGTGAGCCACTGCACCTGTCTACAGCTCCCTGTCTCACTCATAGTCCAAGCCAAAGTCTTAACAATTGCGTACAGGCTCCCACAGGAATTCCTGAGAGCTTTTCTCCTCTAACCTCCTGGCTAACTCTGCTCCAGCCATACTGGTCTTTTTTTTGTTTGTTCTCTGAAGTTCTTTTAAAATTATTTTTAATTTTTGTGGGTACATAGTAGATATATATATTTATGGGCTACATGAGATATTCTGATACAGGCATGCAATACATTAGAACCCCATAAGGGTAAATGGGGTCTCCATCACCTCAAGCCTTTATCCTTTGTGTTAGAAACAATCCAATTATACTATTGTAGTTATTTTAAGTGTACAGTTAAATTATTTTTGATGGTAGACATCCTATTGTGCTAGAAAATACTAGGCTGTGTTCATTCCTTCTAACTACTTTTTTGTATCCATTAACCACCCCCACTTCTCCTCAAACTCCCTACAACACTTTCCAGCCTCTGGCAACCATCTTCCTACTCTCTCTCTGAGTTCAATTGTTTTACCATTTAGCTCCCACAAGTAAGAGAGAACACGCAATGTTAGTCTTTCTATGCTTGGCTTTTTTCACTTACTGTAGTGACTTCCAGTTCCATCCATGTTGTTGCAAATGACAGGGATAGGGGTGTCCTACAGAGAGGATGCCGAGCCATTAACTGCCTATCTTCGCAGTGATTCCAACATCACACTGGATGTTTGTCCATCACTGTATGTTGTTTCCTGTGACTCTGTCTTATTTCTTGGCCAGGCTAGTTTGGCCCATTTCCATGCAAGCAGCTCCTCTCCCTTGCCACCAAGCTTGGCAACAGGGAACTATCTTCTGGGCTCTCAATGTCCACTTGCTCAGTGTTCAGTCCTCTACTGCGACCCAAGACACAACCTCATCTCTGACTCTCCAGCCAGATCTAAAGACACAATCTTTACTCTCAGAGGGGTGAATGGACTGATGGACATTATCTATTTTTCCAGCAGTGTAATCTCAATATCATGACTCTTTATCAGTACTTTTTTAAAGAATATTTAATCATAAGACCTGGCAAATGTTTTATAAATGTTCAGTGAAATAACTGGATACACTTGATATACAATTTTATTTTTTAAAAGTATATATTAATCCCATACATAACAAAATATGAATGTTTTCTCTAAGGTGATGTACAATTTTAATAAACTCAGTTTTTCTATGTGTTCTATGTTTTATAAATTAAATCCTGTTCTTTTCTAATCAGAAAGAAATTAATGTTATTTTATAAAAAGAAGCTTTAAGCCAAACACAGTGGCTCATGTCTGTAATCCCCGCACTTTGGGAGGCCACGATGGGCAGATCAGCTGAGGTCAGGCGTTTGAGACCAGCTTGGCCAACGTGCTGAAACCCCATCTCTACTAAAAATACAAAAATTAGCCGGGTATGGTGGCACGTGCCTGTAATCCCAGCTACTCGAGAGGCTGAGGCAGGAGGATTGCTTGAACTCAGGGACAGAGGTTGCAGTGAGCCAAGATCATGCCACTGCACTTCAGCCTGGGCAAAAGAGCAAGACTCCGTCTCAAATAATAAAAAAAAAGAAGCTGTAATGGTAAATGAGTATCATCAGGAAAGTGTCTATGTTATATCAAGAAACAACTAACTGCAAGAGTGAAGGAAAATGAAGGTAGGCTATTTGGAATGATAAGCCAAGTGTTTTAGTTTGTGACTAAAAGTTGACAAATGTGAAAGATGTCAAAATAATATATGCCAGAGTAGATTGTTGATTTGGACATGGGGAAGAAAAGAGTCAAACATACCTCAGGAATTATTTGCAAACACAGCATCCAGAAAAGGAATAATTGGCCAGAAAAGTTGAAAGGGACATGATGAGTTCAAATTAAGACATTCAGGTATTCAGTGAGTATGGTTCAACCAAGAAGAGCTTTTCCAATAGGCAGATGGAAAACGGTCTTAATAGTAAATGCAATCAGTTGATCAAATCCAGGGGAGTAAATGAGGGAGTAACTTATAAAGGGGAATATTTGAACTCATGCATTTAAACAAGCTAACAAAAGTATAGAAGTTAAGTATGGAAAGTGAAGAGCAGAACCAGTTAACAGTAGCTCCCGCCTGTAATCCCAGCACTTTGGGAAGCCGAGGCAGGTAGATCATTTGAGGTCAGGAGTTTGAGACCAACTTTACTAACATGGTGAAACCCTGTCTCTACTAAAAATACAAAAATTAGCTGCTGTCATGGCACCCACGTGTACTCCCAGCTACTTGGGAGGCTGAGGCAGGAGAATCGCTTGAAACCTGGAGGGNGAGAATGGCTTAAACCTGGGAGGTGGAGGTTGCAGCAAGCCAAGATTGTGCCATTGCACTCCAGCATGGACAACAGGGTAAGACTAAAAAAAAAAAAAAAGAAAGAAAAAGTAAAAAGAAAAGAAAAGGAAAAAAAGAAAGAAAAGAAGAAAAGAAAGAGAAGAGCAAAGTGCTATGACTAAAACCCACAGATGTTAAAATTTAGTGAAATAAATGTGAATCATCTTCATCAGTATTTAATAAGAGTTGGGCAGCAGATAGCCAAAGGCTGCAAACTCTGATAATAGTAATGATGATAATAATCTCAACAACCTTTTCTTTATTCATTTGACAAGTATTTATTGAGTACCTGTCACCTGGTAAGCAAAGTAAATTATGTGGAATTCAGGAGATAATTAATGCTATGAAGAAAAATAAAACCTGGAAGGGTGGTGAGTGTTGGAAATAAATGCTTAGTGCCACAAAGAAAAATTAGCACTGAGACAAAGGATATTTCAGCAACACAATTTTTACTTCCTGGACTGCAGGAAGGGTAATCTTGCTAGCCATCTTGCCACAAGAGTACAATGAACAAAGGAAAACGCACAAATTTATTTCTTACACATTTGGGGTTGTCCTTGCTACTGTGTCTGATTTCCTTTGGCTGGAGCCAGACCTCACAATGTAAACTAAAACCTGATTGGGTAACAACTTAAAACTTTTCTAAACAGGTAAAAGCAATAGAGAGCTGGGATGTACCTGTGGGCACATCTAGCACAGATATCTTGGTTAAAGTACGAGGAGGTAAAATGTACTACGTGCCTGTAAGCATGGCATGTTTAACAGCTACATAGGATAGGTCTTAACAAAGTTATTAGTGCACTTATTCTTTAACAAGAAAGAAAACTTTAAAAAGGAACTTTTCTACTTCCCACAATAAAGAATGCCTGAGAGGCGGATTGGGCACTTACCAGTTTAAACAAAGTGACCAGGAAAGGCCCAACTGTGGAAGTGACACTGGGGCAAAAGCTGGAATGAGCTAAAAGGGTGAACCCCGAGTCTGCCTGGGTGAAGAGCCTCCCTAGCAGAGGAAACCACAAGTGCAGAGGCCCTGACATTTTATTAGAGGACTGTCAGGGAAACCAGTGTGGCTGGAGCAGGGTGATTGGAGATCTTTCTTCCCTCATGGTGATGAGTGAAGGGGCTACTGCCTTCTAGGTACTGAGATGCTCATTTTGCATAAATCATCTTGTTTAGCCCTTACAACACCCCTATGAATTGGATGCCATGTTACAGGAGTGGAAAATAAACCTCAGAAACAGTAAGTGACATTCTCAAGACCATACAGCTGTTGAAGACAGAGCTGGGATTCAAACTCCAATGTATGGGCATTGAGTTCAAAGCCCTCCTGGGCCATACCCAGCACCTCACAGTGAGTTTTGTTTCTGGCCCTTCAAGGGAACTCAGCAAGGGCTGCCAGGCAGGGTCCCCTCTTACTCAACAATGGCCCATTCTTCTCTAGGGTCACCCCTGGTCCTCTAGAACCACAGAACTCAGAACATTCCTGCAGAGGCTGCTGTGGCCTCTGTGTGCCCAAGAAGGGACTTCATTTCTGCCTGTGGATTTCTTTAGAATGCCCAACCATCTACGGGTCCTGCTCTGATCACGAGGAGAAGTCAGGAGCCTGCTCTTCAGGGCCACAGAGTTTGTGGCCCCATCCCCAGCACAGCCCCAGCTAGGCCACAGTAACCCTGAGAGTGGCCTTGGCTTCCTGCAGGTATGATCTTCGGTGACAATGGGAAATCTGACTGATGGGCCCTGCCTTGGGAGCTTTTTCTCTGCCAGGTGTCACCAGTTTAAGTGTGGGTTTTGGTATAGATGGCTACACATTGGAACAACCTGAAGGCTTAAAAAAAATAATAATGCC